GATCTGTTCCGAAGTGTCCCTGCGTTCGTGTAAACGACTGATGCAGTATGTGCAATGTGTACAATTATAGTTGTTTCGGCGAAGTTCAAAGTAAATTTGGTCGAATCCACGGTTTACATATGAAGGGGTTTCTTACGAAGTAGGTTTTCTTAGTTAAACAATGTTGTATTATCAGGAGGGTATTCAAATTGGATTATGGCCCGCGTCTGCACCTCCAACTGTACATTATTAAAACTAACATGAACCAATGTTTTTATTCCCCTTCATATTCATCCGGATAGATATGAAGGGGGTATAAAAAGTACATTCTATGCTAACTTTAATAATTTACAGTTTTTTTCTACATGTTGTGATAAAAAAATCTGAACGAATTTAGGCATATTTAAGAGTCAAACAAAAATAGGTCAGTTGTAAAACAATTTTTGAAGAAAACAGACTAGAAAAACAACAACTAAATTTTTCAAAAATTTTCAAACTTTTTTTCAGAATTTTTTTGAATTTTCAAGTTTTTGATTCACAAAATTCCGCTGAAAAACGCTGTTTTTACGGCTTAAATTAAGCTTAAAAAGGCTATTGTAAGCCTACATGGTCGCCTTATTAGCTCGAAATTAGACCAACAATCAAAAATTTCAAACCACTTCTTCTCAACACCGAAAAAATTTCAAAATGTTAAAATGTTCAAATCACGACTGAAAGGGTTTTATAATGATATATCACTCAACCCAGTCCGATGATTATATGTGGTACCTGTTTTTGCGGGGAAAAAAAGGAAAAAAACTGAAACACACGAATACAAAGATCCTTCCCAAGTTCATTTTAGTTTTATCATTGATTTTACCTTCGAAAGCGAGCATTTCCAGTGTATGTATTTGTTTGCTTGCAACTTCGAGCATCTTAAATAGTGTAATTTTTTCCACTTCAGTAATTGTTTATGAAATTGATAATAATGTAATTGAAAATGGTCCGTTTCATGCTTTTCATATTTACCGGATCACTTGCAAACTTTGTTTTGATAAACAATTTGTTTTAAACAAACTCAAAAGCTATTCCTTAGAAGTTTGCCCATCTAGAAACATTTGGAGTTTTTAGAGAAAAAACTTACTTTTTTGTCCTTTTAGCTTTCTAAAAGTTTCTGGCGTAAAAACAATGTTAAAGCTTCGTTGGACAAGATTATCTTGAGCGGCATACTGGTTAAAATTTTTCTTTAGGTGGAGCAAGTTAACATTTTTACCTAAATCAATTTAAGAAATAAACCGTTCTTTTAGTTGAAAACAATCACTTTTAGCTCATTTGAATTCCTCGTTTGCATCCTGGTGTACAGTTCAAAGCTGGTGTATAGAAAGGTCTCTGGTTCACTTAAGATCCATGCCTTATATAGTCCCTGAAATCACAAAATCTATTTTTTCAAATTCGTTTTTATTTTAGAATAGCTTTTTTCAGCGCTCTGGTTTTTAAGTCAGTTTTTGAACTTCTGATCATTTTGGTTTTGAAACCTATAATTTGGACCAGTTTGAAAACTATTATGCGCAGTTTCTTAGAGGCTTTTGCCTCTATTACAAAGGTTAATTCAATACCCAGCATGATACGTGCTTTTTGCTTCCGGGTGAAGCAAAAAAGTTCATCCCAGAAAAGTTACAATTTTTCTCATATCAGGGCAAAGTCCTGAAGGTTCCGACTGCAATTGAAAATCTATGAAGTAATGCTTGCATTAAAAACTTGATGAAATTTTCAAACAATTTAAATTTTTCTTTTGAAAACTATCCCTCACACATTATGTAAAATGGAAAAATATATAGCATATAGCAATGTTTTAAGTAGACCTAATAGGGTGTCAAACAAATTCAATTTGGCGAATTTCTAAGATGGATCAAATTGCCGCATACGCGCTAAAAACATGAAATTTATTGCGCGTTAAATGTATCGAAATGGCAAAATTGGCAATCTTTAAACCCCGATCAAAATTTAAACAAAAAAGATCACAATGTCTTTTTTTTGAATTTAGGCTCGGGACAGCAATACGTTTTGAATTTGAATAAATTTCCGTAAAAAACCTCATTTAAAAGGCAAAGATTGTATGGAGAAAAAAAACAGCCCGAGCACAAACTTTCCGCATTTTTTCAAAAGTCGGAACAATTAAAATTAAAAAGAGCATATGTTTCTCCTATTAGGCAAAACACTGTGCTGCTCCGTAATTTGATTGCTAATGCTTAATATCTGAGATAAACTGTCTTCATCTCATTCTCCCAAAAAGTTCCAGTACGAAATACTGGGACCTGCTTTGTGTACTTACGGCTATCGTTTCTTGCTTCTAACTTTCTATCTACCTGTAATTTTTCTATTCAGGCAAGAAAGTAGTCGATTGTGTAACGGTTGCTTTATCCATTTTCTAATATTTTTATCGAGGATCGGCCTTTTAGCATGTGTCTTACTTAGCAAGCTCTGGTAAAAGAATGCAGTTGAATGAATTGCTATTTTTAGCTTTGCTTATTTTTATTTGAACAGCGTTTCCAAAACTCATCTAGCAAATCAGTGATTTCTCAAGCTAATAGCTTAATCAGGCTTTGTAGTTCAGACTTTCGTAACGAAAATAGCCAATTATTTGTGTTAGGGCTGGTGTTTTTCTTCAATCAAATTTCGACATTTTAGTATGCCATTTTTGACGGAATTTTTTATTTCATCCAGAAAGTATTGTTGTCCTGAGATTAAAATTCAAAAGATGTTTCTCCTTGATCTTTTTTTAAAAGTTATGGGCGTTTAAGGATTGCCATTTTAGTCAATTTGAGACAATTAACGCGCGATATATTTCGCGCTAATAACGCGTAAGCGGAGACTTAAACCGTCTTAGAAATCGTTCGAAATTGGTTGAAAGAAACCTATTTGCCATAATTGGTTTGTTATAAGGAGCGAAACATATCCTTCTGTACCTATCCTCCAATGCCATCTTGTCCCAGATGATAAAAAAATGAAACTTGCCCCAGATTCTTTGATATCCTCGTAGAACAAAATGTCGGCATAAAGATGAAAGATATTTTCATTGAACGATGAAATATATTTTACATGGCGTGTGGGGATGATTTTCGTAAAAAGTCTCAAAATAAAAAAAATTCACTTTGTTTTTTACATTTAATTTGTTTATGTTATTACTGCTCCATAAATCTTAAAAGACAATCGGAACATTCAGGGCTTCACCCTGACACAAGCAGTCTTGTTTGTTTTATTTAAGCAAAAATGTTTTGTTTAAGTGAACGCCTAGATGATCAACAATCGCATAGTGTTAGGCATATGTGTTAAGCGATATGCCACCAGGTTACCCTTGTTTCAGAATAAGGCCCATAAACTCAATACTGAGAGAACGCTCATTGAGTTTTTTCCAAAAGTTTTATCATAATATTGAGCGGCTCATGTTAACATCCTCCCCCCTCCTCCCCCCAAATAGACCAAGTTAAGATCCTGCAGCTTAATTTAAATTAAATTTGCTAGGGGGAGGAGGATGTTAAATTGGTCTGATTGATCATATCCAAGCGAAGCCCTGAATGTTCCAATTGCTTTAAAATTGAATGCAGTAGTTTTTTTCCGAAAAAAAGATCAATTTTCACAGAAATTGATTCTTTTAATGTTAAATAATGTAAAAATTTCCTCTAAAATTCATCCTTAACCACTATGTAAAGTTCAAAGTGATTATAAAATTCATTCATATCGAAGTTTTAAATAGACTAAATGACATGCCTCACATCTCATGGATTAAATCATGGCTGACGTGTTATTAGCAGACGAAAAACATCGCGCGTCAATTTTTCTAAATTGGTCAAATTACCAGTCTTGAAATCTCAGAGTGTAATGAAAAACGATCACAGGGAATTATTTTTTCAGAAAAAAAAATCAGCAACAATTTTCCGATGATATAAAAAAAATCCGTTAAAAATGGCTGATTAAAAAGTCAAAAAAAGTCAGGAAAAGTCGAAAAGTATATAAAAAAACCTCGAGCACAAATTTTCCGACTTTTTCTTCAAAATTCGGAACAATATTTTAAATTTTGATCTGGAATGATCAAAATAATTCTGTTACCAAAAAAATCTGACAATAATAACGCAAGACTTTTGGACACAATGCCTGAAAATATTTGCCAGGGTTTGAGCACAATCCCAAATAAAAGCTGGGCAAGTTTGCGCGGAAGTCTGAACACAGTCCAAACCAAGTCCGAACAACGTCGCAAGATCATAAATGTAGTCTGAAACAGCGTTTAAAATTAATTGCGAGGGTCAGAGCGTAGTTTCAAACTTAGTCTGAGCAAATCTGCAAAAAATTTCTAAGAACTACTAAAAAAAACTCTCAAGAGTCTGACTTTAGTTCCAAACAAAACTCAAATAAAGTGATGAGAGTTTGAATGCGCCCTCAAACAAAACTTGAACATATTACGTGTCTGAAAGTAGACTCAAGCAAAGTTCGCGTTTTTTTTCCGATACGCCCAGAAATTAAATTTACGTCAAGGAATTCGTGCCAGGAAATGGAGTAGATTAGCTCAAAACTTGGAGTAGATTAACTCTAAATTTTTATATTGAAAAAACAAAGCAAATTGATTAATTATTGGTAAATTGAGTTTCAAGTGTGTCGGTGAACAAAAAACAACTGCTTCAGGTCATTATGTATATGTAACTTTTTGAATATTTTTTATGCAATATATCAATCTTTATAACATTTGATAATTTCATACCAAGAAAATTTTTTTTTCTATCTTTAGGGTTATATAATTGTAGTTCCTGCAAATCGCAGAGGAGCTATCAGTAGGCCTTAACAGTCCTGTCGAGGATAGTCCATTTGTATTATCTCCCCACATTCCAGACAGTGTTATTTTGCTCAGCGAAGCTGTTTTTTTTGCGACTCAAGGCAGTTTTTTTAGCGTCTAGAACTTTTACGTGGTACCACTATTGCAGCCAAATTTGGTCAGGCTGAGGTAGACCTGAAGCTACAGGTCAAGCGAGAGCTAGTCCTAACACACTAGCCTAATTGTTGTGATAAACTTATTAAATAGGTTATATGATTTGCGGGGTAGCCGTGGTGACCCCTTTTTCATGGTTGTGATTATTGAAGCGAGCTCATTACATCTGGCACTTGAAGATTGAGCATCAGTAGGAGGAAACGAGGAACTGCAAGAAGACGTCATTCATTACAAGGGAGTAACGTTTCATCCCAAATCGAAATCGAATAAAATCGTACGAAACATCTTGAGAGACGAAATTAATAGAAACGAGTCTGTAATTATCTGGCACGACGTAATAAACAATTCGATTTCAAAACATCCATTCCATCCAAGGACTCCTCTTACTGCCAATCAACTAGTATCAGAAATCAAACCCCTAATCAATTCGCATCCTCGAATTGAAGGCCTTGTCTATTGTCAGAGAGACGGTGCACCCTATATTCTTGAAGATCTAAAGAAACTTCCGATACCAGTTGTTCAAGTTACAACAGACATAATTTCAAATTCTAAATAACAGGACAAAGATCTACTTGAAGAATACAGAGAACTGCATCAAGAAACCGCACTTGAAATCAAAACTTTAGCTATAATACGAAACAACAAAAGCAACTTGAGTGATATCTTAAAGAAGAAAAAGAAACCGTCAAAAAAACAACGAGAATCACGAAGGAAACGAGAACAGAAATAAATTGTGAGTTTAAATTTCAATTCTTGACGGGACTGAGCTTAATTGTCCAGGCTTGGATCAAATTGTAAATAAATATTCTCTATCCCATTTTCTCCTTCTCTCTGTATCCACCAATATGACTAAAAATTGCAAAACGTGCAAAAAACCCATAAATGCCAGGGACAGATGTTTCAGTTGTGTATCTTGCAATGCTCAAATGCATCTTGAGAGCACCTGCACTGGTCTTACTAACACCGCCATCAATGGCATAAAAGACTTGGGTTTAAACGCAATGCTTCTATGCGACACATGTGTAACTAATAACGAAAGAGATAACTTCATAAAGTGTAGGACCATGATGCAAATGAACGAGAAAATTGAAAAAGAGAGTGACGGAATACAAGCACGTCTTGAAAATATGGCAAAAAAGCTGACGGCATTGGTTGATGAATAAGTCGAAAACGCTACAAAAACCACATGCGAAAAACTGGAAAAAAGCTATGCAGATGTAATCAGTGTGAAACCTGTTAAAGATATGAACGCTCAACCAGGAGCTGGAAAAGAAGTAAAACAAAAAATACATCATAATATCAATAAAAGCTTCCGTATACAGGAGATCAGAGAAGATCCCGAGAAATCAAAAGGCGAATTTTGTCCCCACAACCGAAAAAGTACATGAGGTACTAAACAAGTTAGGAGTTAAAACACAAATTGAAGAAATAAAAAGGCTAGGGAAATTCAGCAAAGAGCGCATCAAGTCAAGAACTTTATTAATAACTCTGTCAACGGAACATGAAGCACGATTGGTGCTGGCAAAGTGCTTCGAAAAAAGAGATGAGCTGCGAGATGAGGAAATTTACCTTCTGCCAGCATTATCGAAAGAAGATGCGAGGAAGGAAAACCTATGCTTGAAAAGACGAAGAGAACTTCTAGACGAAGGAGTTCCAAAGGAGAAAATCAAAATCAGGAATTTCGAGCTGGTCAATGATGGTAAAAAAAGAGATGATAGAAGCAGAACAAGCAGATGATGCTTGACTAGGCTTTCTCAACATTCTGCAAATGATTAAAAGAAGTCTCATAAATCTCGAACGACGAATGAAGTTTGCAAATGCTGTAGCAACATCAAACTATGACATAATAGGTCTCTGCGAGACTTGGTTAAATGAAAACATTGCATCATCTGAATTAGTGCTAAATGAATACAGTATTTATAGATCAGAACGACAAACAGCCAAAGATCAAAATTTGCACGGTGGAGTACTAATGGCAGTGAAACAAACATTTTCATCTAAATTGTTGCTAAATAAGCAACCTGAATGTTGTTTAACTTGCAGCATCCAAATAAGCGATAAACGAATTGTTGTCTGCTGTTTTTACAATCCACCTTCGAGCAGCAAATATTGCTATTGTCTAGGCAATTTCGCACAAATTTTAAATGAAATCGAGAAATCAAATCAATCAACTGCAACACTTATTTGCGGAGATATAAATTTTCCAAATGCAAACTGGATTGACTATAGTATCACGGGAATTGAAGAAAACCCAATAATTGAACTAATCGAGCAACATCAGTTCGAGCAGGTAATAGATTTTCCAACTTATGACAAAAACACCCTAGACATTACATTATTCAAAAATTGTCACATTCATGCGATTCCTGACGAAAATTTCTCAAAAATTTACAATTGCTCCGACCACAAAGCAATCAGCATTCTAATTGAATGTCCTCACTATGAGGTAAAGGTCGCTATTGAAAACTTTCGAAGCTTCGGTAGCGTGGACTATAACGAAATCAAGAAATCAATACTAAGTCAGCCTTTCTCACCAGTATGTCACACAAACAAAAATAGAATGTGCGAGGAACTTTACGACTATTTGGAAAATTTGGTATACCAACATGTGCCTAGAAGAACGAGACGTCGCCAATCACTTCCGCCATGGGTTACGCCAAGTACCTCAAACATCATGAACAAACTGCGAACACAAACTAGAATATATAAATTGAAACCTACAAGCTACCGCAAAAATCTCATTCTATCTCTAGATAAAATGGTGGAAGAAGCAGAAGAGGAAGATAGAGTAAACTATCAGGAAAATTTGATGTCCACTCGTAACACACATTTAATTTTCAAACACTTTAAGAGTCTGAAAAAATCAGAAACTTCCCCAAAGACTATGATCAAGGACGAAATAGCTGTTTCCAAAGGCAAAGAAAAAGTGAACTTTTTGAATGAATATTTTCACTCTGTATTTTCGCCCAAATCAAGCTTCAAGCTCAGTGACATGAAGTGCGAAAACACGATATTGAGTAACTTCAGTATCTCAAAAACATATTTAAACCAAATTATAACAGAGCTGAACATAACAAAATCGCGAGGCCCAGATGGACTCCCACCAATTTTCTTCCAGCGAACGGCCAGAGAAATTACCACAATTTTGCATTGCGTTTTTAAAAACATCAAGAGGTTAAGGAAAATACCAGAAAGTTGCGGCTGTGTCGCCTATTTACAAGAAAGGTGACAAACGACTAATGAAAAACTACCGGCCGGTGTCACTCCTCAATATCATGAGTAAACTCCTGGAAAATTGCATATGTCCAGCGTTGTATGACCATTTCATCAAATTTCTCACAAGATGCCAGCACGGTTTTGTTAAAAACCGTTCAGTTGTGTACAAACATGTTATCTTTCTTGAAAGAAATCTACGAAGCAATTGACAAGAACAATGAAAACCATGTGATCGCATTCTATACCGACTTCTCTAAGGCATTCGACAAAGTCCCGCATTATGAACTACTAAAGAAAATGAGCAACATTGGAGTTGGAGGCTGTTTCCTTAAAATAATCGCAGATTATCTCAGCAACAGGAAACAATTTGTTCGTGCTGACAATTTCTCATCAGAAACTTTAGAAATTACAAGTGGTGTACCACAAGGATCGTTGATTGGTCCATTATTCTTCTGTATCTTCATAAATGATCTTCCTGAAGTATTGAAATTTAGTGACCCATTTATCTTTGCAGACGACCTAAAATTACTAGCAGTGAATGTAAACACAAAGGACATCCAGCAGGACCTAAAAAGCGTTGAAAACTGGGTAGACAAAAACAAGATGAGTCTGGCACTGGACAAATGTTTTAAAGTCGAATTTAGAGGAAATCAACACGAATTTATTCTTTGTGAAACAGCAGTGGAAAGCTCGAATGTGAGAAAGGATCTAGGAATACATGTGTCCAAACATTTAACATGGACAACCCATAATGACTCAAGAATGTCGAAAGCGAATAAAACGTTCTATTGCATCCGCAGAAACTTAGAATTCAAAGTCAAAATGTGCATGAAACTTGGTCTGTACAAATCCTTAATACTTCCTGTTCTAACGTATGGTCTAATTATTGCAATATCTCAAGAAGCGACTTAGGGAGATTAGAATGGTTCCAAAAGAAAGTCTTAAAATGGATCACGGGAAACGCTTCTGACTACACAGAGCAGCTGAGATTGTTAAACATCCTGCCTCTGGCGTTGTTTCTCCAGCTGAACGAGTTACTGATGATGGCGAAATTCATGCATGAAGAAAACGATCACATTAAGCTCCCGGCAAAAACTGAAAATCCAGGAAGAACGAAAGAAATTTTCAACCTAAACAAGACCAGAACTGAAAAAATTAGAGGAGAGTTTATATTCAGGACGTGCCGTCTAATAAACCAACTAAATCAGAAAATTGAATTTCGAGAAATGCGAGGCTTAAAGCGAAAATTGATACAGATGATGTGGAAGTTTTTCGACGATCAATTCTCAGAACAAAACAATGGGTCCTCTTCTGTGACTGCAACATGTGCCGAAATAACTGGACAAAATTTTGAGAACTTTGGGGATATCATCCCATCAGTATCCTACTGAAAATTCACAACAACAACAACAACATTGCCATGGCATGGGATCGAATACATGATCTGACGTGTTCATAGTGAACGCCTTACCACTGTGCTAAGTGCCCCAAATTAAAAAGATTTAATATTTATCACAACAAATAGCGGTGAGAGCATGAAAAAAGTTCTAAGCAAAGTATGGACTGTCCCGCACAAATTAAAACTTCTATGTAATTCCAAACGGCAGCAAAGTAGTTTATTGGACCCATTTTTGCAGATAAGTTACCGAGGGTGTTCTTTCCCACTGTTTTGAAAGATTTTACCCAATTTCAGGGCACATCGTCTTGCAAACTGATTAAGGGCGCATTAATGAAAACTTTCAGCAGTTACGATAAAAAAAGTTTTGATTCAATTATTTATGAATTATTTATTCTATTAACTACTTATGTATTTTGTGAATCAACTCAAATAATTTCGAATAATCATTAATTTGAGTGTTAATTTAGGCATCTATCTCATTAACGATTGAGATCATATTGGTATGGATTCCAATAACATAGCCGTCGGTTTTTTTATAGTAGACCTCATGATTACTGATTATATGGACTTCTTTTTAAATTGATTCGATTGCGACCTGAATTCCATCTAAGCCAGTGAGAAATACGAGCTGCTACATTCTTCGAGGCAGTCGAGTTTGGTCCATTTGTCGCAGACAATTCTGGGCGGATCGGGTTTGGTGCTATGGTCCAGTATTCCTCTGACCGATCCATATCCAAGCCACATAAGAATATCTGTTTCCGCAGCCCCATTTGGCTCGCCTAAAAACGAGATGAAAACAATATCAATAGTGTATCCTGGGGAGGGTTCTCATGCTTGAAGGACAGAATGCTTGAAAAATTTCAACCAATCAAAATTGCTAAGCGTTCTTATTGGCTAAATGCCTCTCCCACAAAATCGAAGTCAATATTAACAGAAAATGTATTAAATCAGAAGAAAATAACCAAAAATTTTACAAATTGCGGGTTAAACATCAGGATTCATCAGTTCAAGTTCATAAAAGTTTCGAATTTTGGCGTTCAACTGACGCCATTTAAATTTTTGGGCCGGAGGTCTTTCGCCCTTTTCGATCCGGCCAAAAACTCAGCGCATTCGTTTTCTTGGATTTTTAAATAGTAATTTATTGTCCACAATGACGGTCTGATCCTGGCTATATCGATCCGGCAATATGTGAAAACTCATCTGCGTATTATCTAATCGGCCAATATTAACACTAATGGCCTGGATTTTTTTTCTTACTTTGAGATTTTCACGATTTATTTTTAGATTTTGAATACTCATTTCTGATTGGCTGAAAGTAAGCTAAAATTAATTTCAAGCATTCGGTCCTTCAAGCATGAGGGACGCCACCGTGTATCCTGATAACTATATTAAAAATCGATCAAGCATTTCGTTTTTCAAGATCAGACTTGCTTAGTCCAAAATAGTTAAAGTTCAGTTAACAATCCAAAACTTGAAGCTATTACCCAAATTTTAGAAAACCGTTTGTCGGCGCGCGGAAAATGACACAAACGACACGTGGATGCGGAGCAATAAGCAGAATAGTCCAAGAGCAGAAAAACCGAACATAATTGACTAATGTTGGTTTACACGGGCTAATTAATAACGCAACTTATTAGAATGGCCAAAAATACCAAGAAAATGAATAAAATATGCATGAATTGAATATTATCATTAAGTTTTTTGATTGAAACTTTTTGAAAAATCTTGATTAAATTATTCAAGTTATGCATTAAATGTTCGTTGCTTTGTTATTATTGACAATTCTGATAATTAAGTCACCGATTAGCTCATAAAAGTTGACATTTTTCAGTTTTTCTGTTCTTGGACCCTTTCTGCTCTTAGACCATTCTGCTTATGGACTGGCCGCCACGACACGTTCATGTTGTGGTCATTTATAAGAGAGCTTAAGTTATCAAATCATGCCGCAAAACAATGGATTCTATTAAATCAGATTGAACTGCAAAAAGATTGAACCGTCACTGTTAGAGTTGAAAAAAAGTTATTAGCACCAGGGGCGGATCTAGGATTTTCTCGAGGGGGGGGGGGGTCGGTTTGTGTCGGATTCTCAGGTCACTTTTTGAAAAATTTGACAAAAAAATCGCGTTTTTTGACTGGAAAAATCCATTTTCCAGTCATAATTGTTATTAGTTTTAAGGGGATTAAAATGTTTCCATTTATTCATTGCCGATCATTCTTAATTTTACATACATAATATATTGTAGCTTTGAAAACACCAAACAAAAAGAAAAAAATATTGATAAAATTCTATGAGTTATTTGCATATTTTGAGTTCAAAAGCTGATCTATATTGACCCTTTTCTTGTTCCGTTTGATAAGTTTTTGCTCAAAATCTGATTTTCATTCATGATTTTCTAGGATTTCATTGCATATTGCAGATAAAAACTTAATTTATTGGCTGTTTTTCCTTTTTCCCCCACCTCACATAAGCGTCAATTTTATGGTGTAACGAGGGGTTTTACAAGGTTAACTATGGAAACCAAAAATGTTTGTCAAGGCCTAATTAGTTCGCATGCCAATTTTTGTAACATTCGAATAAAGTGAACAAAACCAAATTTTGTAAAATTTTGCACGTGGGGGGAAAAGGAAAAAGAGCCAATTTATCCTAACCCTTTTTTTGTTTACATAGGATTTTGCCCATTACCTGATTTACAATGATTTTCTTTGATTTCATTGCATATTTTCGAGCTAAAAATCTGATATATGCGGATCATTTTATTGAGTTCTTTAACATCTTTTCTGGCACGTGTGTTTTTATTTAGATATTTAGACAAATCTTTTGCCTTGTTAGCAAAAAAACTGATAGCAAAAAAGTTGCCTTGTTAGCAAGAAAATTGAGTAAAACGAGTCTGAAAATCCATGATAATCGATTTAAATCAAGTTTTAAGACACTTAAATTGGTCCAAAATTTTCAAGAAAGATCGATTTAAGTCGATTTCAAATGGATTTAAGTGAGATTCGGATGGATTTTAGTGAGTCAAAAAATCCATCCAAATCGATTTGAATCGAATTTTTAGACACTTGAATTGATCCAAATTTTTCAAAAGATAGATTTGAATTGATTTAAAATCCATTTAGTTTCGTAAAATGAACATTGTTAATTGATTTGGATCGATTTAAAACCGATTTAAAATCAATTTAAATCGATCCGAAACCAATTTCGTCAGTGCGGGTTCTTATGCAGTATATGTGTAAAATGTTTTCTGCCTGATTATTGGATGCTCTCATTTGGAAATCTAGTTGCATATTGTACTACCGGACTCGCTAAGCGCAAAAAACTATGGCAGAACTGATTTTTAATTCAGCTTTTTGGTAATTTCCTTCGTTTTTATGACCAATCTTTTTCATTACGAAAGAATGATTGTCGTACAATTGTAATAAATGGGAGAATGCTAGGCACAAAGCTTACATGTAATTTTCTATATATAGGAAAGGTATAGTCAAACAGTCTGATAATTGTATGACTGTATTTGTAAGCTGATCCGAGATGAAAAATTTGATCATGCAGCGCGAGAAGTCTGTGTCACAAGTTAAGCATCATTACTCAAAATTTAAATCTAAAATCTCAGTTACTGATTTAAGAAAATTGTGTTGCCTTAAATACAGATAAAACTGCTCGTATCAGGGCGAAGCCCTGAATGTTCTGACTACCTTTTAAAGTTTATGGAGCAATAATAACACTTAAAAAATTTGAAATTTTTTATGAAAATCTTCCCCCCACACGCCAGATAAAGTACAAAAGGATAGATTTCCCTCCTTGTAACAAATCATTTATGGCAAATAAGCTTCTTTCAACCAATTTGGAACAGTTTCTAGGACGGCATAAACCTCCGCTTACGCGTTAAGAGCGCCAAATATATCGCGCGTTAATTGTCTCAAAATGGCCAAAATGGCAATCTTTAAACCTCAATAACTTTACAAAACAGATCACAGGTAAAATTTCTGTTAAAATTCAGGCTCAGGACAACAATACCATTCGAATGATATAAGACAAATTCCGTCAAAAATGGCAAGTTAAGAAGTCGAAATTTGTCTGAAGAAAAAAACCACCCCGAGCACAAATATTCCGTTACTTTCGTATCGAAAGTCGGAACAAAAATGACCAGCAGTGCTGGAAATTGATGACTTTCGGCACTGTTGAACACCATTTGTTTGGCAATGTCTTGCTACGGCGCTGTTGTACTACCCCTAACGAGAGGTCGAATAATGCCGAAGTACAGGAGTGCCGAACAATAAAATGTTGTTCAACAGTGCCAAAATTGCTGATTTTTGGCAGATGAAAAACGTTTTATTTTTCAACACAGTGGTACTTTGGCACTATTGTACGTCTGATTAAACCAAACTGCTTGATTTCATATAAGGTCATTACAAATCAATTTTCCTTTTGCCCGTAAAGTATGTAATGCACATTAAAAAGAAATGGTGGTTCTTTGCATACGCGTTTATTGAGAACTGCGAGTTAATTTGCTATATTGTGAATCTTCGAAAACAATAACGTTGAAAATTTCAGCTCAAAATCACGCAACTTTGGAGCAACTGCCATCAAAAAAATATGATCAAAAACCAAAATTTAAATTAGAGGAAAGATCATACCATAGAACGTGTTCAGTCACTTCCTTCTAAGTTAGGTTAATTTAAAAATGTAGTTCCTGCGAAACGCAGAGGATCTATCTGTAGGCCTTACGACTGTGTTATTTTGGGACTCAAGGCCGTTTATTGATTCTAGAGCTTTCATGTGGTACCACTATTGCAGCCGAATTGGGTCAGGTTGTAGTAGACTTGAAGCTAGAGGTCAAGTGAGAGCTCGCTTCACACACTATCATTGCCATGGCATGTGATCGAGTACATGATCTGACGATTTCAAGTGAACGCCTCACCACTATAATAAATGCCCCTACTATCTTGCTAGAGAATGTGCAATTCATCAGCATGCTGTTTTAAATTCATTTTATAGAATTAACAAAGATTTTCAGAACACACATTGGATAAGTTTTTCGACTTTACAGCTTTTCCAAAACAGTATAGTTCTGTTTTATAAAACTCAGCAGAAGGGGGAGCAGGGATAGTGAAAAACTTTAACCTATCATTAAAAATTTAGGCAGTATTTTAAAAACATTGTACGTTTTTGTAGTGTTTGCTGTAACAGGATGTAAAACAAGCATTTTGAAAAGTTTTTGCAATACTTACATTGCGAAAACGAATTTTTTGCCAAAGAAAACTTTTTTTAATAGTTTTAGACAATTTGTTGTCTTGCTTTGAACCAAGTTTCAAAAACTGTAATTTCTGCAAACTAGTTTTGGATTGAAAAAAGTTCGTAGGCTTATAAGATTTTTGAGAATCACTGAATAAATTTATAAGATCTGTCGTCAGTTCAGCAGACTTGCAACCAAACAAAAATACTAAATTGAGTTAGAAACTCATATTAATTCATTAGGAGTTTTGAGATAATTTAAATCAAGCTTAGCTCATGAATTATATCTTGAGAAAATGCAACATGAAAAACCTCAAAGAATTATGTTTATATACAATTTATTGGAAAATTTGTTATCATTTAATATATTAGGTAAAATTATATGAAGACTCAGATATTTTGAGGATAATTTTTTGTGAAGTAAACCCAACTCCGACATCTTTTGGAAGAGATTACATGAAGCATAAATCAAAAGTTTGCTTTCAAGATCTACATTCCATTATTTTGGATAAAAAACAAAAATCTTGATATAAAAAGATTTTTAGAGAA